ACGATGCTTTGAATTTCCTTCATTTTTTGCCAAAAATTTCCAGTTTTCCAATGGGGTAAGTGACAAAAACTCAAGTTTTATTAAGTAGACTCTGGATTGTAATTTTTACGGGATTTTCTTTGGATTTTCCGCTTTTCCAGTGGTTTTTCGATCGGCAAAACCGATTTTAAGTACGAGGCTTTGAGTTTTCTTCATTTTCATCCATAAATTTCTAGTTTCAAATACTAAAATTAGGGGTAAATAAGGTTTTTCTGCCTCTTTTAAAAAAAGTAAGCACTTGAATTACATCCTACTTTATCTCTTTCCTTGTCCTACTCAGAGGGTTTTAGAGCTACTTTGCACTTAAAAAACACTAAATTTAGCTGAAAAAACGAGGCTCTGAATCAAAAAAAAGGGGGCTCTCAAAACAAAAAACAAACAAACGCCATTGTCGCCATTTTGAATTAATTGTCAAAAATTACAAGGCCTACTTTGACTTTGACATGTCAAATTTTTGACGTTTGCGTCAGGGTTACTGCAACTTTTGTGCCAGGTTTGCTACATTTTTTCGTCCCTGTAGGCCGATTTTTCAATATCGAGTCACCTCCGGGTTGGTTTTAACTAGAAGTGGGCCAACCTGCGAGTTTAATGGAACTGTGAGAAGACGTGACTGATCTAGTCGTGTTACGGTAACAAATAACAGTGACTTGACTGGCGGTGCTGGTAATACATGGTACATTACATAATCGCAATTCGCTTAGTTCACAGTCACGGCCGAGAAGAATGTTTCAGTCTGCCCTCTGCCGTGGCAGTTTCTATTTGCGTCACCGCAATGTGATTTATAATAATATTTCATCATTTGCATCACTTTAAGTTGAGTTTAGTCCACACTGTATCGGTTAGAGATCGAAGTGGCCGTGACAAAATGTCACTGCTACTTGAGTGGGACCGGAGCAGGCCCTGACTGTGACAGACGAGTAGCAGTGATAAAGTCACAGTTCGTAAAATCGCAACTCACCTCTAGTTTCTAAATAGCGAGTCACCTACGGGTTGGTTTAACTCAAGGGTAAACGTGTCTAGTTGCAATGTTAACCTAGAGTTATCCTTAACCCTGGGGGTGACTCGCTATTTGGAAACCGGCGCTGAATGATGGAAATAAATAAATTTCTACATATTTAGTTATAAATCGACTACCGATTACCATGATCCGCTGAATAATCGAATAACCACCGATTCATGACACACGTCAAGTCACAGAATAAAAAACTCCCCAAATTCTGGGATCGTCGAGGATCAAGAACACTAATTTGTTATGAAAGAACAGACCGAAAATCACCTTTTCTACATTTAAAATCGACGAAAAAATTAACTCACTAGCATAGCCTGAATCGCAAGCATTCGATCGAGGTCTGCGGGTGACGTCATTGCTAATTTCTGCTGATAATGATGTCTTTCGTAGGCCCAGAATTGGATGGAAAGGGAGTTAGGGAAGTATGACACAATTAACAGATCACATAACCCAGCATAATCAGATTATGCTTGAATATTCTCGCCAAAAATTGTCTCATATTCGAAACGCCAGTTTCTTGTTTGGCTTTAGCCGCACCGTAATGGGACCGGAATGTGAAACCCAACCCACAAGTAGAGAGTGGAGTGCAGAACTCGGGTACGGTATAGAGCGAAGAACGACACTCGACTTGTATTCCAAATTGTATTAGATTTATGAGAGAGGTACTAGCGTACTAGGTGAAACGTGATTATGCTAGATCTAGTACAATTGTACTAGAAATAGTATCCCTGCATGCAGATAGACTCTCTTTCGCAAAGAACAAATCTAGAGAAACTAAGTCAATAATAAATGAGTGGTGGACGTACCCAGACTATTAATACTGAACTGGATCCCAATACTGTGAATACATATTATTGTGGTGTTGCCTCTACCTTGACTGCTGGCTTGTTATCGGATGCGAATCCAATGTCATACCTCAGCAACGTTGGAATAGGTAACACTTTCTTTTTCGCCTCTAAACCAATGTTCACGGGATCAAAGAAACCATGCTTTCTTGTTCTTATTGTCTTATTTTCCTGGTATTGTCACTTCTATCGACTTCCAGCTCCTGCAACTCCTGATTTTGTTCTCCTTTTTTTTCCTTCTTAGTAGCTTATTAGCCTCTCTTCTTAGTTGTCTTGAATCCTACCGACTGCACCATATTAAATTTCACATTATTGTAATATTTATCCAAAAAAAGCATTCTAAATGCTAAATATTATAAAACACTCTGTATACGGAACGTGTATTAGCAGTTGTCAAATGCCAATACGTCAATTGGAATTAATGTTGTCAGCGATCTACTTTACCGACCAACAACAGATGTTTGACGTTTGAGCTTTGTGACACAATCCTTTATGTATCAAGTAGGCCATACATTTACCTAATCAAATTTTAAGAAAATGGAAAATTTATCAATTTTCGTTGGAATCGTCGGTCCTTCTCTAATCATTAATGCTGAAAAAGGACAGTACCTATTAAGTTTTCTTTCTAAAATGGACATTCATTAAGAAAAGACTCTGTATACGAAACGCATATCAACAGTTGTCAAATGTCAATACGTCAACTGGAATTAATGGCTGCTTTTTTTCTGCACACTGTCTTATCTTAGCTGGGCTAAGTTGTAGTTCAAATGTACACATTAGATAGACGAAGGATCTAACTTTAAATAAACAGGTAAGAAATTGAATTAAGGATGGAATCCGGCATCCTTGGCGTAGGCAAGAGTGGAGGTAATTTCGACTGACATAAACTTACCTAAGATGTTAGAAAAAACGGTCCTTTATTTCAGAACAACTTAAATTAGCTAAGATAGGTGTTAGAAAAAAACCAGCTATTATAGAACACTCTGTATACGGAATGCGTATCAGCAGCTGTCAAATGTCGATATGCCAACTAGAATTAATGTTGTCAGCGATCTACTTCACTGACCGACGGATGTTTGACGTTTAAACTTTCTGACACAATTCTTTATCAAGTAGGCCATGCATTTACCCAATAAAATGGTGCCTCCTTTTATCCATTTTAGTCGGTCCTTTTCTAATCATCAATGTTGAAAAAAGACAGTATTAAGTTTTCTTTTCAAATTGGAGATTCAATTAGAAAACACTCTGTATACGGAACGCTTATCAGCAATTGTCAATTGACAATACGCCAACTGGAATTAGGGAATCCAACCCACGTGACTTTTGCCAACGAGCCGGCATTTTGGAATTTTTATAAGGTTAGAAGACGGGTTTTTATATGTCAGACAAGTGTCAAATTTGAGAACTCACCACTTGTATTCATAATCCAGCCAAAAAAAAAACATATGTTTTTAGTTTATTGTTTGCCAACCAGCCGCCATTTGGACAGGTCGTTGGATTGCCTAATTAATGTTGTCAGCGATCTACTTTGCCGACGCTTAAACTTTTTGACACAATACTTTATCAAGTAGGCCATACATTTACCCAATCAAATGTCAAGAAAATGGTGCCTTCACTGGCCTGTCTCGAGATTAAGGATGGAATGCCTAGAGTTAGAGTTGCAGAGCGCGCAGCGCTCGTTTTGTGCGGAATAAGCATAGCAAAACCCCACTTTTTATTAATTTTCGGTTATAAATAAAAACAAAAATGTCCGGTTCACTGGACGCGTCCTCACTAGCAATTGTGAGCTTCGGGTATGTGCGCGTGAGCGCGGGTACGGATTAAATGGGTTCGACAGCCCTGCACCCTGACCAATCCTGAGACCTAATGAGTCTCTAGGTAATGGTTTTGGTGCAGGTGGGGAGGTTTGTAAGGGATGTCAGAGAATGATGGTTGGGACTGTTGGGAGGATTGGGTGCGAGAATTAACCGGGATTGGGATATGCGTTTTTCAACTAAACTGGTGCCTATATGGTTGTTGGTCAGATTGGGGTGTCTGATATGTTCAATTAGACAAGAGTGGTTTCCTCATAGTCAGTGATAGAGGAGTTTGTCACACACTAAATCGCTGACTATTTGGAATTTTCCGAAGAACTAAGGGTAGAAATTAGACCTTGATAGGATTGCCAGAGTCTCCTGCTTCAGACTAAGGCCAAACTTTCTTGTCTAATTTTGTCTTGACGTTAAGATTTTAGCTGTGCATTGGAGAGGGTTTTTATTTGGGTGTATGAATAGCAGGATTGGGATGGGGAGGTGTTCAAAATAGATTGGCAAATTCTTGTATGGTGGACCGTGAACTATGGGGTTGCCTGGATCATATCTCGTTGCAGTCATTCTGCGTGTTAGAGGGAAGCCTTGAACTTGGTGCCTATAGAATTTTTCGCTGATTTCATCCAGGTAGTCAGAGATATAAGGAATGCATGTTTGCGCATGCATGTGCCTTATTCTGGCGTACCTGGATTCCGACAGCACTCCTCTCAAGATGCGGTTCTGAAAATGTTGCAGGCGGTTTCGCTGACTTGTGGAGATTATGTTCCAGACGAGGGCCCCAGTTGTTGTAATAATTAAGGCCACAACTCCCCCCTATTATAGGGGGGAGTTGTGGCCGATGAGAGGGTAAAGTTTTTGCTGTTAATCGATTTTCGTCGGTCCTCCTCTAATTATTAATGTTGAAAAAAGACAGTATTCACTTTTGTTTCAAAAATGGACATTCAACTAATATAAACGAAAAAAAAAAAATGTGCATCGGCCGGGAATCGAACCCGGGCCGCCCGCGTGGCAGGCGAGCATTCTACCACTGAACCACCGATGCTTGTTATTTACCTAAAACAAAATCTTACTCAAGCAAAATCGTGCACTATTCAAAAAAACAACTAATTAATAATCAATAATTGAATAAATTAAAATCCCTAAGTCCCTAGAATAAACTACTATAATATTTATATCATATTGGCACTCTTCAATTAATTCCTTCTTCCTTTTACCCCTTAACCTCACATAAGTTTGTTGTATAGACTTGACCTTTGAAAAGATAAAAAGCCTGATAATATTTAAAATTAAAAACTTCTTGTCTGTAATACAATGAACCTTAATAGTGCGTGACATACACACAGTCAACCCCTTAAAAAACAGAACAAAAATGAGTGGAATTTACAGTTTAGTCAAAGGTGTGTGGAGTTTGGGCCCCAAAGAATACCTAAGGCAACGCCTAAAACTACCTCTAATCAAGTTTATACACGACACTGTAAAACTATACAAAAGCAGGACACGATCAGGTGTCAATACCATCAAGGAAGTACTAATTAGAGGGGCGATTATAGCTTTAATTACATCAATACTGGTATGGCTTTCTATACTTATGTATATGGCTTTTTACTATGTTTATGTACCTAGTGTCAAGCATGAAAGGCCTGTTCATTTGAAGTTCAAGTAAGTATTGTCCATTCACAATCTGTAATCCAAAGATATAGGTAAAATGTATCACCTTTTAATGCTATTTGATAGGGAAAGGTGATAAATTTACCTGTACCCTGTACCTTTGGACTACAGATTTTGAATAGGATACAAATTATTATACACCAAGTTGTTTTTCAGACCTTGTGGTGCAACAATCAATTGCAACCTTGAAAAAGGCTTGTGCAGTTTTCCTGCTGCCCATGTTCAACTAACTACAAGACAGCAAATACTTATGATGGGGCAACCATACAAAATACATTTAGATTTAGAAATGCCTGAGTCTCCTGCTAATAGAGATTTAGGGATGTTTATGGTCTGTGTGGATTTTAGGGCTTCAGATGGCAAAACTGTTGCCAACTCATGCAGATCTGCAATGTTGCACTATAGGAGTACTTTAATTGATTCTCTTTACAAAATTTTGTTTATGCCTTTTTTTATTTTTGGCTCTTCTGAGGAAAAGCAAGTTGTTCATGTTGAGCTGTTTTCAGATTATGAAGAATCAGAGGTTAATATATATATATATTTGATCCAATTATTGCTACTAATCGTCTTGTTTTAGTACAAACCAGTTACAGATATTTATGTGGAAGTTCAATCGAGGCACATAGAAATTTACTCGTCGAAATTTTCGGTGAATGCCGAATTTTCCGGACTTCGTTATGTGATGTTCAACTGGCCGGTACTATCGGCCGCCCTTGGAATTACCGCCAATTTGTTTTTCATTGCGCTCTCTTGTCTTATTAGCTGGTTCCAGATTATAAATTCGGAGGAGTATTTGAATTATATTGATGGCGAAGGCAGTAGGATACTAGAAGCTTTTATTGATGATGGTAAGTATAAGGAAAGAAACAATCTGTATAGACTATAATATCGGACGCCGCCAGAGAGTCAGGATTACATGAATACAAATTCTTTCTTTCCTTACTATTCTAGTCACATGCATGCACCCTTGATATTTCTGAAAGTAACATTTGACATTTCAGATTCAGATTCTTCTGAGGAGGAAAACGCTGCGATTCGTAGAAGAAAAAATTATCCTGTTGAAGAAGTTACAAAGGATGTCTTGGATGGATTTTAAACTTTTATACATTTATATGTTTTTATGTACAAAGACTTGGGATCAATAATTTTAAGAAGGCTTAAAGTTTTTTCTAGTTAGTGTTTTTTTTTTGTAAATTTTATACTTCTTGTTAAATAAAAAGTTTCTATATTGTTACGCTTAGGTTAATTGGCTGTGGTCAACAGTACTAACACTTTTACTTCACTTGGCTGCGTCCACTAAGGGTTTATCTGGAAAGAGAGGGTATGGGGAAGGGATACCACCACGAATAATATATATTCTTTATTACCTACTAAACCTTAATTACACCTTATAGTTCAGTCGTACCCAGCTAAGAAGGCAGGTCTTTTAGGCTTGTAGGTACCTACCTTATCTACCAACTTTGTCTTGCATTGCCGCAGTGCGTGAATTTATTTAAAATTATTGCTGGCATAAGCAAAGTTGTCTATTTGTAATAGATCCGTGAAGGCGATAAATCAGAAATCGGTAAAACTATCAAAAAATTAGGGATAATGTGTAGTAGGTACCATGAACAAACTAGTACAATTGTACTAATCCTTTAAATGTACTATATGTACTTGTACTAGTAGGTACCATAACATTAGAGTCAGAGTCCCATAATATTAAAGTAGGTACATACATTCTTTTCATCATAATACATAGAAAAAATTATAATAAACAAGTTTAATTTCTACTTTACTATTATAGATCCATAATACATAGGAAACGAAATGCGTTAAGATAACAACCTGATCCATAACGCCCGCTTATAATGGCCCTGAGGTGTTTTTGTTGTTGTTGTTCTATTAATTTGCACTTTACCCTAGGCAGCCACTAAATATCTGACCGAAAATAATTTTCGGTCTAGCCAGGATTCGAACCCGGTCTACCCTACCATCATCGTTTCCCAGGTAGTCCAGCGCGTGTTAACCCACAGGACCACCACGTACCGTTGCCTTGCCTTATGAGATGTTTATATATTAATTTATTTCGTTTCTAGGTAAAGGTCGCAGGTACAGGTCACAGGTACAGGTACATGTCAAAATACAAAAAAATATTCGGTCACACAAGTTTAACTGATTTTGTTATTAATAAATTGATGAAAAAACATTGGGTAGAGTAGAAAATAAAGCATTGTATGAACCACGGGGATTTTAGGATTATAATGCCCTTCAGGCGAAACATATCCCTCGGGCCAGAGGCCCTCGGGCTAGTTTCGCCTTCGGTAAGCCTGCCATACGTCCCGTATTATACGGGACAGTCCCTTATTTCAAGATCCATGTCCCGCGTCCCCAAATTTGTTGTCGGGACGCGTAAATGTCCCGTATTCTCGATATTTCAAAAAGCGTAAAATAATTCGTCCGTTTCATTACCAGTCTCTGCGGTGGCATAAATAAATCGATTTTTGCGCCTCATTTCTAGTCTTAGCAAATCGCAACGTGGTGGTTATTTGTCAGCATTTGACATTTGACAGTTTAGAATTTGGTGAGTTTGGCCCAAGGACCATACACACCACTAAGGATTGCTTATCGGCCTCGTTTTTGGTAATCCCCACCATATTGGTGTATCACCATTGCCGACGTCATCAACTAAGTCGTCAGCGACGTCAGCTGTTTGCGCCTGCAGTCGTAGTTTAGAAATTAAAATTATGATGAAAAATGTTATTTTATTTTGATCAAGCATAATAGGCAAATAGAAACACTGGCGCCGACTACATGGGGGCATTGGGGGCAGGTGCACCCATAAGCAACCTCTCATGGGTGCGGAGCACCCATGGGAGCTCTAGTGAAGAATCCGCAAGTACAAACGTGTTTATTGGCGATTCCGTTCCGTGTGGTAGTATCAGTATCATGTACACAACTTTGTATAAGAATTATACAATAATGGTATTAGTATCTACCTATTCTGGTTCTTTCGTTATTGATGGTCAGTTCCAGTGGAGGACTGGTATAGTAGAACTAGGTCGACTGGTCGGCTTCACCCACCTTAGGGGCCCGGCATTACTGGGTCTATATCTTTTTCAAGGCAAAAAATAACGCATTCTGCATTATGAAAAATTGTGAAAATTAAATAATGGTTACAGTTCGGATTAACGGTAGATAGAAGTGCTGCTTAACAAAATAATGGCAATAATATATGTACAGCCATTATGATACGGTCAAGCTCTGCGCAACCGCCACGCAGACTATTGAACTTAGCACACGTGCGTGCCTTTTGGGCAAGTTTGTTGCGTTCCACCAATATACCTATGCATGACTAGGCTGTTTGTATAGTGTGATAGTCCCCACTACTTGTCCGGAATGGATAAGTTACGCGCATAGACACATTAGCTGTCCTCGCCGTCGGCTAAGCTCACTACATATTAGTTATTTATTGCTTGCCCCGTTGCCCAGAAGCTGGGATTGGGACCTATGCGGCAGATTTTACCAGTGCATTCATGTAGTCTACATGCTCCGTATTCCTTGTGTCCGGAGTCATGAATCCCGTTTCAAGACAAGGTACGGATTCGGGTTGTCACACTCTCACAGCTTTATACATGGATTCATGGAGCCAGAGTTCGCCTCGTTGTTCAGAATTCTGGGAAAGTGACGATGCGGTGGCCCTGCTTTTCTGTCCAACGGGTCAGGACAAAACCCTTCACTAGGTAAGACCTGGCATCCTCTGTTCCCAGAATTCTCGTTTGAATGAGACGAGTCGCCGTTCGGTTCTGTGATCTACTATCTTGTATGGGAGAAAGCTCAAGAGCTTTGCCCAACATTCCGAATGGCCTAAGCACTGACGAAAGTGGGATCGCTCAGGATTCAACTCCCTAGGGCTGTTGCGGACACAACGATTCCGCATTCCTACGTTGCCAGATTTCGATGGATATTCTGGAAGACAGAGACGTACCGACTATTTTTAAAGCATATTTTCATATGCAATTGCACACACTAGGGCCTCTAGAAATGGAAGCCCGGTCGGAATTTGCCGACCTGCCGACCTATAGCCAGTCCGCCACTGGTCAATTCTATGCTCTATTACTTTATGTTGCTACTCTCCATCTCTATTCTTTTATAATAATTGGGACAGTCCTGTCCACAACGAGGAGTCTGGCGTATTGGTAATTTGGTATTAAGCTATAAGCTCGGCTATAAGTAAGTAAGCTATTTCCTTACTTAAATACTTAGTACTTGGCTTACTTTTTGATTTCGTTTTTCTTGTACTTGTACCTATTTCTTCGACTGTACTGTGTTTATATAATTTAAAATAAATACATTATTATAAGTTTGTTTAAAATTTATACTACCTATATATATACGGTCATACGGGGGAGGGATAAAATCGAATACAAAAATTGAACGAGGGTGACTCTACCCTGCTCTAACCGGATGTAGCAATCAGCAACACTAAAAAAAAGACGTTTCTGGGCGTGGCACCTGGAGGTAAATTTCCCGTGGCGGTTCCTGCGGCGAGCTTTCCCCTCCCCCTATGTACAAATTTATATACAGGGTGTCCCACTAAGGTACGATATTATGGAGACCATAGACCTCACGTAACTTGAAATCGAATGCAGATATTGAATTGCGGTTTGCGCCAAAATGTAGATATTTTTTTGCTCTTTAAGCACAGCAATACAAAAATAATATTATGCCATTTGCATCGATTAAAGGCGATTAACCGGTCGGTCATAGTTGACAGATAACCAATGAAGCAAACGTCATTTGTCAACCAATCGGTTATAAATGACATTAAATGCATTGTTCATCTGTCAATATAACCGAATGGTTAATCGCCTTTAATCGACTTTGGATTTTTCATGAAAATTAGAAAAAACTGGATCTTGAATAAACAGCGCCCTCTAGAAGACGCGGTGGGAACTATCGACCTCGAACGAACTAGTGTTCTTAATAACAATGAAATTCTCTTCCAAATAAACCCAAATTGAATGAGTTTGAATGAGGGGTATGGAAGATACAGCAATTTCGAAAAAACTGTAGCTATATCTACAGTGCCTCTATTACCTACAGTGGCGACAATTGCTGTCTTATTTTTGATTGGTTCTAAAATCCCATATATTTATATTGAAAACGCGGCCATCTTGTTCCCACCCATTGTTTATTTCAAATATGAATATATGGGATATGGGTGAACATCCATCATAAAACATGGAAAACAACGTCGTATTTGATGGACCTAATAATAATCATCAAATACGTCGATTTCAATTTTTTATGATAGATGTCCATTTGAATTCTATATATTAATATTTAAAAGTAACAAGAGGTTGGGAACAAAATGGCGGCGGGACCTCTATTGTCGCCACTGTATTAAAAGGTTTATTTAGCCACTGTAGCTATATCTACAGTGACTCTATAACCCACAGTGGCGACAATTGCTGTCTCATTTTTGATTGGTTCTAAAATCCCATATATTTATATTGAAAACACCGCCATCTTGTTCCCAACCCCTTGTTACTTTTTAATATGAATATATGGGATTTAGGTGAACATCCATCATAAATCATGGAAAATAACGTATTTGATGGACCTAATAATGGTCATCAAATACGTCGATTTCAATTTTTTATGATAGATGTCCATTTGAATCCTATATATTAATATTTAAAAGTAACAAGAGGTTGGGAACAAGATGGCGGCGGGACCTCTATTGTCGCCACTGTATGTAAAGGTTTATTTAGCCACTGTAGCTATATCATCGTAATTGCGCCCCCTAGCGGTCATCCTAGAAAATTGAAAATAATTTCCATCAATTTCTCTTGGCCGATTTAGTGAAGAAAAAAAAATCCCGAAGCCGTCCGTAAGGTCTATGGTTTCCATTCCATAATATCGTACCTGGCCGACCTTAGTGGGACACCTTTACTATCCTGATGCACCCATGAGGAATTTCAAAAGTCGACGCCTCTGAATAGAAAGATGAAATCATAACCTGTGGTGCAAACAGCCTACGTCAAGGCGAGAAACGACATGCTACCTACGTCACAAATGGTGATTTAGTGGGGTAGGGGGGCTTCGGATTTGTTGTACACAGGCCTTATGAGGATAGGCTATCCTGTAGTAGTAGTATGTATTATTCGTGGGTTCGTCCTACGCTCAATCCTACAGGTGTGTGGTTCAGAAAAAAAAATTGCCTGCGGCGCTATTTTTTCTATAAATACATGAAGCATCTGCTTCATAAAAATGTCCCGTTTTTTTATCAGAATAATATGGTAGCCTTAGCCTTCGGGCATTATAATCTACATAATCCTCTTGGTACATAAATAGCTATTAAAACATGTAAAACAAAAATCTATGAGCACGGAATGTAAAGAAACCGTTTTAACCGTCTTAACCAACAGGAAATCAAGGCTGTATTTTTTTAGTTCCTAAATGCTAAATAGTATACCTATGTAACTTTTAGCAAATAAATCATTCATTTTATTTTTGTTGAATACTAAATAAAGTTTCTATATGTATTTTTTGCATTTTTCTCCCTTGTTACCCTTTTTCGTAGATGTACTAAAGAATTAGTACATTGTACTAGTACATTTTGAGCATTCAGTACTGCTACTACTACTGAACTAGTTCATTAAAAAGTACTAAAAATCGCATCCCTACAAAAAATGAGAAAATCTGGCAGTACCGAAGTGCATCTCAAATGAAATAAGTGTACAGACTAGGCGCTTTCTTTTATTCCACTTCATCACTAAGTACTGTTATCTTTGTCGATTCTTCCTGAGTGAGACAAGGACACCACCACATATCCTTGTTAAATGAATGAAGACATTAGGAAATGAAAGCATTGTCAAAACCACAGCTTAACGTCAAAACATTGTTATTTGGATGTTTTTTGTTTGGAATAATTTAATTTTTAATATTTAATAATTATTATTATAACAAATCAAATAGAATCAATATAATGAGTGTGGACATTGCAAAGAACTGTAAGTAACATTCATTAAACCAAAATATTGTAATTTTTGCAAAATTCCATCTTATTTCAGTAGATACCAAACCACGAGAAGCCGAAAATGGTACTGGGGCAGAGCCTTCGGCCCCCATAACCAAAAAGGGCATTTTAACCTCGTTCCTCACTGGCAAATCCATGAACATTCCTGAAAGCGATCTGGTAAGTAATCAATAGGCATTTTTATGTATATTAACCTAAGATTTTGAAACAGATAACTGGTTATGGGTGAAGTAACTTAATAACAATTTTTATTGCAGCTTGGTAGATGTAGATTTGTATCTGAATTTGAAAAATTAAACAGGATTGGGGAGGGAACCTATGGCATCGTTTGTAAGTTGATTATCCTTTGCAACAAATCAAAAATTTAATCAACCAATTTCAGATAGAGCCAAAGACACAATATCCGGACAAATAGTGGCCCTAAAAAAAGTGAGGATGGACCAGGAACGAGATGGAATCCCCATTAGCAGCCTGAGAGAAATCCAAGTCCTGCTAAACTGCAGAAATGACAATATTGTCCATTTAAAAGAAGTTGTAGTAGGAAAAAGCTTGGAGAGCATCTTTCTGGCCATGGAATACTGCGAGCAAGATTTGGCTTCCCTTTTGGACAACATGCAAGCCCCATTCACCGAATCCCAAGTCAAATGCATCATGCTGCAGGTGCTCAGAGGCCTCAGATATTTGCATCACAATTTCGTTGTTCACAGAGACTTGAAAGTTTCAAACCTGCTTATGACTGATAAGGGATGCGTCAAGATTGCTGATTTTGGTTTGGCAAGATGGTTTGGGGTGCCATTGAAACCAATGACGCCTCATGTGGTCACTTTGTGGTACAGGTCACCAGAATTGCTTTTGCAGGCCTCTACACAAACTACTAGTGTGGATATGTGGGCTGCTGGATGTATATTGGGAGAACTTTTGGGGCACAAGCCTTTACTACCTGGCCGAAGTGAAATTCAACAGTTGGAGTTGATTGTTGATTTGTTGGGTAAAAAATCTACTTTTTTTTTTCAAACTAGAATTAAAGATATTTTTTGTTCCAGGTACACCTTCTGATGCTATTTGGCCAGGCTTCAGCGAATTGCCAGCATTGCAAAATTACAGCCTCAAACAACAACCCTACAACAATTTGAAGCAAAAGTTCCCTTGGCTGTCTTCAGCTGGTTTGAGGCTGTTGAATTTCTTGTTTATGTATGATCCCAAGAAACGTGCCACAGCTGAGGAGTGCTTGCAGAGTAGCTACTTCAAGGAACCACCATTACGTAATATTTAATTTGGTAAACCAACACAAAACAAACATTGGTTTTATTTCAGCTTGTGATCCTAAATTGATGCCAACCTTTCCCCAGCACAGGAACATCAAAGGGACAAAAACTGCAAGTTCAGATAATACTGGAGTCAATGATCAGACTAACAATTTGCCTGCTATCTCGGATTTGGTAAGATTTTCTTCAGAATTTGGGCATTATTTTAAAATTGTTTACCTATGTTTTCAGTTGGGTTCTATAGTGAAGAAAAGAAGAATTGAGTAACTTCAAGAAGTGTATTGTGCTTAATTTTAAGGTTTTCTGCATTTGTATTTCTTAAATATAGTTTGTTTAATTTGGAACGAGGGTATTTTATTAACTATACAATGTTCAAAGAATGCAATATTGATGGTTGGACAGTTATTCGGCAACCAATAGAATTATATAATGGCAAATTTATCTTGCAGATTGATACCAGCAAGTTTATCTGGAGATGAATAAACCAGGCTTAAGTATAAAGTTTTTGGGCTAAAGCATTCAACTTTAAGGCAAAAATTTAACATTTTAAGTGAATGGTATTTTACCAGTACTTACCTTACATTTACCTACCTTACTTTGCATTTTTGTGATTAGTTTCTTAACAAAAAATGCCCATTTTATATAAAATTAAATGCGGAGAACCAGAAACAACATTTCAAAGAGAAACGGGCACAAACTTTTTCATGTTTATCCCTTAAAATGTCACTGTCAAATATTATTACCCTAAACAAGCACAAGTTGTATGAGTATCCTTTTCTAACTAATGTTAGAAAAAAAGGATAGAAATACATGTTTAGCAGTAAGTGAGATATCGAAAAGTCTCACTGACAGTAGTGACAGTGGCGCCATTATATTATTCGTCCTGTTCAAATTCAGTAAATTATTAGATTAGTTTCATTTAAACTCTAGATTTCACTAACATAGTGTCGCAAAATGCCCTCGTTGCCTACCACAGAACAAACCGTTCACTTTCTCAAAGATTTTATGGCTGGAGGAGTATCTGCTGCAGTCGCAAAAACCGCTGTTGCTCCTATCGAAAGGGTGAAGCTCCTTCTGCAAGTGCAAGAGGTCTCCAAACAGATAACGCAAGAGCAGAGGTATAAAGGTGAGTGGTTTTATTGGTAAGAAACGTTTGGGGCCCCAATTTTTCTTTCCTAATCTAATAGAACAGAAACTTGAGGTTTATGGTTTTTCTTTACTGTGAATGATACAACTTCAAACGTCGAAAGCGAAATTTTTAAAAAGATCTTTTAGAATCACTACCTACTCTTTTAAATAGCTTTATTCCATCACAGCAGGAAAACGTACATTGTAGTACCACCACGATTCTGCGCAAATTTATGCGTAGAATCAAAAATTCGTATACAGGGTGGTTTCAGAACCGATCATGAGACGGCTTTATAAGTGTTGAAACCAAAAAAGTGGTAAAAAGGTTTGGAATGACCCCTCGCGTATCTACTCAATATGATTTACGGCCAAGATTAGAGTGAGAGAACAGAAGAGATCCGTGAGATTTTCTTGCTCCTACTAGCGCTATTTCATTCTGGAATCAATTGAATGACGCAAAGCCCATTCTAAACCTTCTTACTACTTCATTGGTTGGAACATATCTAATATATTTAAGTCAAGAACGTCTTGTACCAAGTTTATGCTTCTACCCGCTAAAAGCAGTGTTGGAATTCCCTTAAAAAGATTTGAGATGTTTACGCAGTATTTAAACCGTTTTCAGATCGGTTAAAACAAGTTAGGGATGTCAGCCCTGTAAAGATAATAGAGCAGTGGAACCAGGACAGAACCTTGAGAAACTCCTGCTTCTATAGGTCTGACATGGTGAAGATATGATCGAAATACGTGGAAATCCAAGAACTTCGGCTGCAGTGGTCTAGAATCGAAAAGGCGTAATTGCATGCGCACATCATTTTAACTGTTAACGTGATTATTAATAGAGGTCGTGAGAAAATACAAAAAAATGTATGGAAAACCAACGATCTCCATTAAGATCCAAGAATATGCCTAGACTCGTACCTGGAGATCCCATCCGGAGATCTATGGAGTAACAAAAAGATCTCCACAGATGGAGATTTTCTTTCCTAAAAAATCGCAAGTGAAAATCTTCTGTTCTATATGGGATGTAAATCTCATGGAGATCCATGCAGATATGTGGAGATCTGTGAGAATCCATGGATTTCCGTGGAGAAACATGGTTATCCCGTGGAGATATATGGAAATCCATTTTAGATATTCAAACAGTACAGAGACATCTTAAAGAAGTCCACAAACAACATTCAAGGACGTCTTATAGGCTTACGTTTTCAAGACATGTCAAAGACAATCGTTTGTTACAAAACTCAATCTCTTTATTCAGACGTTTTTACTAATACATTCCAAAGACGTCTTCTTTTGGTTTTCAGACGTTCAAACATAATGCAGACCTAAAAAATGACTTTGAGTGCTTCTTCTTTATCTTATGTTTATCATATTGTTAGTGCGAAGCACAATTACGCTGTAATACCTGTAATGGATTAGTCTAATTGCTACTTATGTTTTGCTTAAAGTTAACTATTTTTGTTCAGAGGAGTAACGAAAGGATGGGAAAGGAGGAAAGGGATTCTTTAGAAAAGAAACGGAGCTTACAGATTATTTTTGACGGTAGTTTTGTCAGAGTTAATAGTAAAGTTATCCTCGAATAAGTTTTTATTTTTAATGATATCATTAGTAACTGTTTCAATAAACCGAGTATATTTCTCAAGAAGGTATTCCTGGGCTGTCTCAACGCCGTATGTAGGTCCGCATTGCGCCGACCATCCTACGGATTACCTGTAGGTTCTTTTTATTTTGCCATGATGTCTGTGAGATAACTGTGGTTCACCGTGAAGTAATGAAGGTCTGGTCACTTGTCTGTATAGTACTACCAGTTTGTTTTTGAGAGTCCAGTTTTCTGTAGTAGGTGAAGCAATCCCGCTAACCTGTTATATATTTATCTAAGTTATGATTAATGTGAGAGGTCCAAGAAAGTTTGTTGTCCAGTATTTATTTTGAATAATTCATGTTATTTCTGAATCGTACAGTATCAGGTTGCCAATATGTCTATTACTTTTGTGGGAGATCAGGACAGCTCGGGTCTTATCGATGTTAATTCTAATTTTCCATAATTTTGCCCAGTCAATTCTGAAGTCAAGATGATTTTGTAGTCGTCTATGTATGTGATATGAATACTTTTGTGAATAAGTCTAAATACAAGTGTCATCTGCGTTTGCGGATTAATGGGGATATCAGCAGTAGAGATTATAGAACAGTGAACCTAGGACAGACTCTTGAGGAACTCCTGCTTTTATAAGTCTGACATTTGAGAAGGTTTGTTGAGTTTGACATGGAAATTTTTGTTCTTGAGGACTTTGTGTGCTGTTTGGGCACGTGGAGATCTGGTGGAAATACGTGGAAATTTAAGAATTTCGGCTACAATCGTGCAGAATCGAAAAAAGGTAATTGCGTGCGCATATCATTTTAACTGTTACCTTGGTTATTAATGTATGGGTCCCGAGGACAAACATTTACGGAAATTCAAATGATCTCCCATGGAGATCCAAGGCATGAAGATCTAAAGGAGCTATGAAAAGATCTCCATAGATGATGGATGAGACTTTCTGTTCTAAGAAATCTTCTGTTTCACGAGATATAAATCTCATGGAGATCTGTGGAAACCCATGAATATTCATGAAGAAACATGATATTTGGTGGACATATATATGGAAATGCATTTTAGATACGTAGAGATCCAGGTGAAGATCCGGTGTAGAAATCCAAGAACTTCGATCCTAAAAAAGTGACTACCTCCTCGCTGTTCACTAACTGATTCTTGATATCCTGACGCATAATTTAACATTGTCTCTCCCAGAATCCATTTTCAGTTCGTCGGCAAGATTGCTCTAACTTGGGGAGAGAATTATTAACAGTAGGTACCGAGGGGTCATTCACGACAGGATATTCGGTGTATACCCTGCAGAAGATATCTGAAATTCTTCAGCGAAATCTTGGGAGGTCTGAGGGAAATCTAACAGAATTTAATTTTCTATTGATGAGAATATTTTAATGTTTCTAGGTTTTCTACTGAATGAAATAAAAATATTATATCTCATATTGTAATAAATGTAGCTTTGATATTGCCAGAAAAGTGATAGATCAGGACAGAATTCAAAGGCGGTCTTACAGAGAAGTGTGTTGGTATTATGTGCTGGTATTCTATGAAATCCCTGAAAGATTAGGGAGATCTAGTGAAATTTTGGAAGACTTAAGGAAATCTCAAGAAATTTCAGGAACATCCCACGTAATCTGGTATATCTAAGGGAAATCTGTGGATATCTTTTGCATAAAGATATCTCTTGTACACTTAAATATGTTGTGACTAACCCCTCGGTAGATATAGGTACTCTAGTTTTTCAGGTTGCTTCCAGGCACATGTTGCCAGCAATGTTTCTTGAAAATGTCTTCGATTCCTTCCAAATCTCTTCAATTCCTTTATCCAGAAAAATACACTAGTATTAGAAAGTGTCAAAAATTGAATTAAGTATCATTAAAACTTTTGTCTTCAATAATGTATAAACAAACAAATACAAATAAAAATTATTTTAACTATTCTCTAGGTATGATAGATTGTTTTATCCGAATCCCTCGCGAGCAAGGCTTCCTAAGTTACTGGCGCGGCAATTTAGCCAACGTGATCAGATACTTTCCGACTCAGGCCTTAAATTTCGCATTCAAAGACACCTACAAACGTCTATTCATGGCAGGCGTCGATAAGCGAACGCAATTTTGGAGATATTTCGCCGGCAATTTGGCTTCGGGAGGTGCCGCAGGTGCCACTAGCTTGTGCTTCGTGTATCCTTTGGATTATGCCAGGACCCGGTAAAGATTTTTGATTTATGAATAAATTGAAAAACAATAATAAGAGGTTGTTTTTAGTTTGGGTGCTGATGTAGGTAGAGGCAACAAAGAACGACAATACACCGGCATGATAGATTGTATTAAGAAGACATTTAAAACGGACGGGTTGATGGGCTTGTACCGTGGCTTCAATGTGTCGGTTCAAGGCATCATCATTTACCGTGCGTCTTATTTCGGCTGTTTCGATACGGCCAAAGCCATGTTGCCTGATCCGAAAAATACGCCTGTGATAATTTCCTTTCTTATCGCCCAAACCGTTACCATATTTTCAGGAATATTGTCCTATCCTTTAGACACCGTCAGACGTCGCATGATGATGCAGTCGGGGCTCAAGAAGCACGAAATGCAATATACCAGTACCATGCATTGTTGGGCTAAGATTTATAAAGAAGAAGGTTAGGTTGTTGGTTTGATTTTTGGGTAGTGGTTTTATTATGGGGTTGTGTTTTAGGTGCCAAAGCGTTTTTTAAAGGTGCGCTGTCCAACGTTTTCCGTGGTATCGGGGCTGCATTGGTTTTGGTGTTTTATGACGAACTTAAAGCCATCATTTAAGTTTTATAAGGCACTACATAGGATTTAAAGTATGTTATTTGTCAGTTCCTATATATTTAGTTGATAGAATTTAAGTTTTGTATTTTGTTTAGCAGTGTAACTGAAAGTCTTTAGGATGGCTCACAAAATGTATATTCATTGGGAACAACAGAAAGATCTTTTGTTTTTGATAATAAAATTTCATGTTTACTTTATTATTATGGTTTATTTATTTTTTCAATAAGTACATACAATTTATTAGTATAGAGAGCTTTTTCCACATTGACAGCAGAAATTATTATAATCCTACTAAAGCCAAATTAACACGGTTCAAGTGTAATTGGATCGAATACTCTTGGACGATACTTGAATAATATCAACTATTTATCCAAGTCCAGTTGAATAGGTTCTAACATCCAACTGAGTACTACTAAGTAGTAAGTGTAGTGATTAGTGTTTCTGCTTTGCATGCTGCAGGTCTCGGGTTTGAATTCCAGCTAGGACATGGTTGTTTGTGGTGTTTAACTGGATCGTTGGCTTGGCGAGAGGATGTGGAAGAATTTTCTCACACTTGCGTGATTTCGGTGGAGTCTGAATGGCTGACCATGGATTGCGAATCGGACCATCTTAGGGTGGGGGATGCATGATAAGGCCAACCATTTAGAAGACTCTAGTATGAATGGGAAGGAGTAGAGTCCATGCAAATGATGTACGATGAGCTTCAGTGCAGAGCATGGGCTCGAAAGGGTGACAAAAAAAAGACTCTCTGCAAACTTACTTGGCCCAAGTGCACTTGGATCGTGTTAACCTGGCTTAAGATTTGTGTGCTGCATTGATATAAGTTTAAATGCAATTTTATACAATACTTAAGTAACAAATTACCATTGACAAAATGCAACAAATACTAATCGGACATTAGTTTCTACTCCTAATATCTACAGTTAACACATATATTATTTACAAATAAATAAGTTTTGACTAGAAACATTTGAGATTCCTATTTGGAAAACATCAGCCTACTTTAAAAATAAATGCTTAATTAAGTACTTGAAACTGTTTTTCGTAAAACATTTAGTTATTGAAATGCAAAAATTCTTAATGGATTTTGTCACCCATTTGCACTTTAGACACCATAAAAATGCCCACAATCAAGCCGAAAAGACCGATAGCGCTGGCAAAGATTTCTATAATCAGGATTTTTACAAACAGGGAAGCATTTGCTGCGTCTGCAAGGGCGGCGCCGCTACCGACTATGCCCACACAAATTCCGCATAGCAAATTGACCATGCCTAGAAAAGAAATATTTATATTTAGAGATTGTTAGGTATTCAGTAAGGATTAAATTCCCTTAATGGAGAAGTAGGCGATTTGTGAGACAATGAAGAGGAAGGAGTTCCTATATTCCTTGCTAGCTACAGTCTATAAAATATGTAAACCAATCACAATTAAGAAAAATGTAGAAAACCTACGTTTTTGTTGTAACGTGCTATAAATAGAGTAGAGCAAAAAGAGACAACTACCCAACTACTAAATATCTTATCGTTTGTTAGAATCGTACCGAGATTTTTGTATTTACCCCCATCCCAGGTAGGATTTTATGATAAGGTTTTATTACAATGGTCATGATGTGTTAATTGTACCTAGCCAGAGGATCTTATTCAATATTTAAGATGTCGTAAAAGTAGCAATTTATATGTGAATTGTTTCCGGGTAAAAAAGTTTTTGATTTGATAACTTTTCCTATAGGTAGAATCTTTTTTCGTTTTCTTATCCTATCATTCCATCCTTTTAAATCGCCTGGGGAAGACGGCATTTCCCCTGCTCTGCTACAGAACGGACTTGGGATTCTGCTTCTATTCCTTATAAGACTCTTCAGAGCCATTCTGGTGTGGAACAATATACCACCAAGCTGAACAGCTATCAAGGTGATCTATATCTCTAAAGCGGGGCGTAAAGAACCCACATCCCAATCATTCAGACCAATAAGTCTGACATCGTTCCTCCTGAAAACTTTAAAAAAGGTGCTGGATGAGTGGATAAAGGAGTGGCGCTCGGGACTTAACCCAACAAAATCTAGAGGCATCGACCCGCTAATTTGTAACTGGATTAAGACCATGCTGAACGGTAGAGGAGACTTCTCTACAGTGGAAAACGATCAGGTTCAGGGCCGCCAGGGGCTGTACACAAGAAGGGGTACTCTCTCCACTTCTGTGGTCACTTCTGGTGGATGACCTTCTGGTCGTGATACAACTTTAGGGGATCAAAGTTCAAGGATATGCGGATTGCAGACGATCTAGTTATAATAGCCAAGGGTAGTTTTGAGACGAGGGTCTTAGCTGCTAGACTGCGTGCTTGATTGGTGCGAGAGAGAGGAAATGACAATCAATCCTCACAAAACGGTCATAGTACCCCTCACTAGAAGAAGAAAACTTGATAACTTCCCCAACTATTCGGGAAGAATTACTACCATTCTCAAATGAAGCAAAGTATTTGGGAGTCACCCTGGATAAGACTCTAAACTAGAACGCTCATTTGGAAAAAGTAAGTCAAAATGCAAAATTGTCGCTTTGAGACTGCCATAAGATCTGTGGAAAGACCTGGGGAATAAATCCAAAACAGATTCACTGGATCTACACCATAGTTATCAGACCAATGATAACCTATGGCTCTGTAGTATGACGGGGCCAGGCGAATTAGAGACTGAGGACTGTAGAGAATAGCTTACCTGACGATAACATTGCGCACCATGCCTACAGCAATTATGGAAATCCTTATAAACTTGATTCCACTTCACATATAGGTACGTGAAGAGAGAAACAATGAGGTCAACCTATCGGCTATATACCATACTTCAAAAAGCACCTTGGAGGGGAGAACTGGAAGAAGCGCATTGCAACATATGGGGCTTGTAGATGAAGTAAATCGACAAGGTATACTGGCGTAACTATCATAGGGCAGTTCGGTGCAAATCACCAAGGCCCCCGAGACTTAAGGGGCCCCTGCCAGGGGCCCCTTTTTTTGTCATAAGTACCTAGCTATTTTGTATCCGCTCGCAACCAGTTAATAACAAAATCCTCAAGAATTAGTACAGGGTACTTAAAGTCTGCATTCTCTCAACACCAGCTTTCAAAGTTCTTTAAGAATTCTGCTTTACTTGCACTTAGTGAACGGTAAATTGTCACGGCACCCTTAGCATGCCTTCTGAGATAATGCCAAAGAAAACCAACTTTAGTTTGCCTTTCTAAACAATGATTCCCGACAGAGAGTTAGACCGAGCTACTGAGGGCAGACCTGTGTCCATACACAGATGGCTCCAAAACATGGTGTCGGATCAGGGGTATATGGAGAAAAACCAAGGCTGGGAATTTCGGTCAGCATCCATATTTCAGACCGAATTGCTGGCCATCGAGCTTGATGCGAAAAAGCTGCTGGAAAAGCAACAATGGCCCAAATCGATAAAAATATTTTCTGATAGCCAAGCTGCGCTAAAAGCACTGGCATCCATACATTGCACGTCGAAAACATTATGGAACTGCAAACAAGCCCTGACCCAGGTAGAGCAAAAGAAAAACGTTTCACTAGTCTGGATACCGGGACATATTAGACAAGAAGATAAGGAAAAAGCGGACCAACTTGCAAAAGCTGGATCCGAGCTTAACTTCATTGGACCGGAGCCAGTACTGGGAATAGCCCTGAATACGGCTAACCTCACAATCTCGATCTGGGCCAATATAGAGGCTAAATAATATTGGTCGAGACTACCAGGCATGAACTACGCAAAATTCTTTGTAACCTGTACAAAAGGAGGGGAAAGTGGCAGACATAGGTAGGTACTTCTGGGAATGGGGAGGAAGAGCCTCAAAGCACTGGTGGGTCTGTACACTGCAGACTCCGTTATCTCATACACAGAATCGGAATAGCAAGAAGTGCCAAGTGTCGCTTATGCACGGAAGAAGACGAAATTGCTGAACATCTCATATGCACGTGTCCGGCAATACCCAGAATCAGGCATGCTGTTTTTGGGGAGTCAGCTGTTCGACCCGAATACATGCACCTTCATATGAAGGGCTGGACTGATGGAGATAAAGTAAAACTCGGAGTGAGCCACAATAGACCGTAGGTCGCAGTGGAAGGGCCGACATCGCACTACTCACAACTCACAAGAAACCTAAACTTAAATGTATTATGTGATTCAAAAGCGATTCAAGTACCTACTTCGACATAATTTCCAAATCCCTTGTTATCTAGTGGATTTTAAGAGACTCGAAAATTGTTTTGGAAGTATTGAAAGTTTCAAAAGTGATTTTCAAGGTATCTCAGCCAATTTTGAGATCAATCATGGAGGAAAATGAGCTTCTCAAACTGCTCTATGTAAACTGTAACTTTAAAATGATCAGAAATAGTAGTTTAAGGGCCAAAATTGACGTTTCAAACTGCCATAGCTCAAATTTAACTCTAGATTAATCAGAAATCGGAGTTTACTACTACTTTAGGAGAGCCTGGAACAGGATCTTTATTCATCTCAGTTGAAATCAGGGTTCAAAATGAGCTTCTCAAATTGCAGTATCTGAACTATAATTTAGTCCGTCGTATATAGTTTCTTTAGGATGCATAAAAAAAAAAACGACTTCCAATCAAATGAGATCTTACCATTTGAAACAGCATGTTTTTTATATAGGAAATGGAAATTGACGAAACTCTGCATTGGTCCAGATTAAAGATATAATAGTAGGTATTATTTCTTGTTAGTATTTGATGATAGTTTCTCTTGATTGTGATTGGTTTGCATGTCTTATTGCCTATTACGCAAAAATATTTTGACTTTACTATAGAAAATATTATGACTTAAGCTTACTTTTCATGCATCCGTTTTTCCATCAATCCGTTGATCCGGAAGTATTTCTATTGGTCCAATATTTTGGCGCCAAGATATTGCACCAATAAGAATACTTCCGGATCAACGGATGCATGAAAAGTAAGCTTAATGAGTTGAAATTCAATGTCCTAGGACCGGTTTGTCATTAGTTAACTGACTGCCTAAACATAACTGCCCACTGATAGTCAACTGGTACTTGAACTTTCCTATTTAAAACGCATTGATGTCAAATTGCCAAAGTGTACATTTTTGATATCAACGTATTTTGGGCCGAATTAGTTGTTCTTTGAGGTTTTCTCAGACCTTAAGGAAGCTTTGGATGTTTAGAATTAACATGACTCACTTGTCAAATAGTAGTGTCTATTCTAAACTCACACTACAAGGAAGCTTAGGAACTACTACAAATTTGTCCCTTAGATAGGAAATATCAAGTATTGACTAGTAGAGTTCAACTGAACGTCTACTTATGGCCTATGTGCAGCTGGATCAATGAACTGTTGAGTCTCTGTTAACTTACGATGACCTTAGAATTTGTCATATTGACATCGACCCAATAAAGTTTCTGTTAACTAACAAGCACTTGACAAGCATTAAGGGCCAAATTATGGACTAACTGTTAAACGTCTGGTTGTTACCTAGCAGGTACTTTCTATGCATTAGAGAATAGGAAGTACCTGCTAGGTAACAACCAGACGCACTTACCAGTTGTTCCATAATTTGGCCCTAAAAACGATAATATTCTAAATGTTTCTCACCTACAGATAGTCCTGCACCAAATATCAAATACCCAGACAACCAATTTTTCCCTTTCAAAAAGTCATCTTTAACAACGATGTCCCAAGTAAAGTTGTCCAAATACCCAGACAAAACTATAGCAGTAATCAAACCGTAAATAGCTACAGCCTCGCAGAAAATCACCGAAATCAGGTTCTTAGTCTTGATCCTTGGCGCCTTCACCCCTATAAAAACCCATTTAACAATCTACATCTTAACTAAGACCAGACAATTTACCTCCACCAAGAATACTGACACCGACTGTATGTATCCCGACTGCGGCCCCAACAACGCTCAAAGACACGGACAAACCGATGCCCAAAGCGGCCCACATGTGAGGGGATGTGTTTTCCAGAAACCACCCGAAACTTACCCTTTCCCCTCGATTGGTAAGCACATGATAGAGCCCCAGGATTGTGGTGGAACCCGACAGGAGACCTAAAAAGGTCACTGCAAGGATGCTTCTCAATTTGATTTCGGTTGGCATTATTACTAAAAGTTTATGGATTTGTTTATGCAAAGACTAAAAGAGGGTGGCATCAAAATATAGAATTTATAACCTAAGTTTTCTTGACAATATAAGCCATTGCCATCTAGTAGTGATATACTGGGAACTATATAATAACGATTTATCATAAAATTATTTGGAAATTAGTGAATAAAGATTGAAATAGACTTTGGTTTTAGGAAGGATCTGCAACCAGTACAATCTTTATCTTTGTAGTACAAAATACAACCCTGTCTTATAACTATATTTGTATTTCTCCCCTCTCTAACCCTTTACTAACAACCAACCAATATAATCATATAGGTACTTATTTTATTTTTACAACTTAATTAAATACACAAAATCCTAAACAAGTATAAATAAATTGGGTTTTTCTACATCTTCAAATTCAAATGGACTATTTCTTAGTAGATTTTGTTCCATTCTTCACGTTCTTGTCTCTCCTTGATAACATCCTCAACCAAAGGCGTTAAATATAGCTTATCGTCTTCTAATTTGGTCCATTGTTCCTTTGGTAAATAGGTTTTCTGAATAGATAACTGGGTGGCTCTGAGCATCCTGTAGTTGCGCTCATCTACAACATTTTGGGGCAACCTAAACACAAAACCCTTTAATTCTGTAATTATTTATAATTATTGAAGTTATTACCTTTTCAAAGCCACCTGGACGTCGGGGTTCGCATATAGTAGGTCGTCCCTCCACAATCCGTATTTGTTGAATCCGGCAAGGTTGTAGCAGAATTTTTGTAGGGCCGAGGACATGAAACGCTTTTGTACTAAATTTACGGCCATTTTCGATAGTTGAAGGGGCTTTTTGCTTCGAAAATAGGGCCCTGTTATATAAGTACAAAGGATTGAGGTTAGGTTAGAATTGCACCAGGATTTTGTACTAATTCTTAATTGTACTATACTAGAATTGTACAGTTTGTTTTTGGGCTATTGCAGCAGTTGGGTACTTTGTACTATGTGTTATATGATTGTACCACGGGTTGTACAGTTTATTTATGGGGTATTTGATTCAGTTTGGTACTTGGTACTATTCGTGATATAATTGTACTAATATTGTGTCAGTATTTTTTCGAAATTCACTGCAATGCGATGCAACTTGTCTTCGATAATACCTAGTAAGCCTTGAAAATAGGGAGTTAAAGTAAAATAGTTGAGAATTATTGATTAAAACCCTAATTGAATATTGGACAGTTATACCCTCGATACTCTATACTTATTGTTGAATAGGTATAGCCAGTATTTTTCTTCCTCTCAGACCCAATTTTTTGTTTTTCCAAATTGTTCCACACTTTTCTGTACCTATCCATAGTTTATTTCCTGATGTCGTCACTTCGATATCTTTTCTTAAGTCTCTCAACTCCCAACCTTTTTCTTCTGATCTCTTCATTATGATACTATTTCTGTTGCGCGTTCACATTTTACAAATTTCTCTCCAGTCCATTGCCATAAGATTATTCCGGACTTCAAATTTTCCTTGTTTGATAAAAAGCTCTTGGTTAATGTATCCTGAAAGTTTCAATTCGATCTGATACCCTGAAGTATTTTTCAGGATTTTTCAAAGATGATTTGACGAGAATTTTCCAACTTTTTCTGGTATTAAGTTGGAAAAAACCTCATAATTTTATTTCTGAGCTTCAAATTGACTTCAAATATTTGCCTTGTTTGATGAAAATATCCTAATTAATAAATCCTGAAAGTCTAAACTCGATCTGATACTCCCAAGTATTTTTCGGGATTTTTCAATGGTGATTTGACGTGAATTTTCCAACTTTTTCTGGTATTAAGTTGGAAAAAACCTTGTAATGTTATTTCTGAGATTCAGATTGACTTCAAATTTTTCATGTTTGATAAAAAGCTTCTGGTTAATGAATCCTGAAAGTTTCAAGTCAATTTGATACGCTGAAGTATTTTTCAGGATTTTTCAAAGGTGATTTGACGTGAATTTTCCAACTTTGTATGGTATCAAGTTGGAAAAAACCTCATAATTTTATTTCTGAGCTTCAGATTGACTTCAAATTTTTCATGTTTGATAGAAAGCTTCTGGTTAATGAATCCTGAAAGTTTCAAGTCGATATGATACACTGAAGTATTTTTCAGGATTTTACAAAAATGATTTGACATGAACTTTACAACTTTTTCTGGTATTAAGTTGGAAAAAACCTCTCTGAGGTGCAAATTGACTTCAAATTTGCCTTGTTTGATGAAAACATCCTAATAAATAAATCCTGAAAGTCTGAAATCGATCTGATACTCCCAAGTATTTTTCGGGATTTTTCAAAGGTGATTTGACGTGAATTTTCCAACTTTTTATGGTATCAAGTTGGAAAAAACCTCATAATTTTATTTCTGAGCTTCAGATTGACTTCAAATTTTTCATGTTTGATAGAAAGCTTCTGGTTAATGAATCCTGAAAGTTTCAAGTCGATATGATACACTGAAGTATTTTTCAGGATTTTACAAAAATGATTTGACATGAACTTTACAACTTTTTCTGGTATTAAGTTGGAAAAAACCTCTCTGAGGTGCAAATTGACTTCAAATTTGCCTTGTTTGATGAAAACATCCTAATAAATAAATCCTGAAAGTCTGAAATCGATCTGATACTCCCAAGTATTTTTCGGGATTTTTCAAAGGTGATTTGACGTGAATTTTCCAACTTTTTCTGGTATCAAGGTGGAAAAAACCTCATAATTTTATTTCTGAGCTTCAGATTGACTTCAAATTTTTCATGTTTGATAAAAAGCTCCTGGTTAATGAATCCTGAAAGTTTCAAGTCGATTTGATACCCTGAAGTATTTTTCAGGATTTTTCAAAGATGGTTTGACGTGAACTTTTCAACTTTTTCTCGTATTAAAATAGAAAAAACCTCATAATTTTATCACTGATCTGCAAATTGACTTCAAATTTGCCTTGTTTGATGAAAACATCCTAATTAATAAATCCTGAAAGTCTGAAATCGATCTGATACTCCCAAGTATTTTTCGGGATTTTTCAAAGGTGATTTGACGTGAATTTTCCAACTTTTTCTGGTATTAAGTTGGAAAAAACCTTTAATTTTATTTCTGAGCTTCAGATTGACTTCAAATTTTTCATGTTTGATAAAAAGCTTCTGGTTAATGAATCCTGAAAGTTTCAAGTCAATTTGATACGCTGAAGTATTTTTCAGGATTTTATAAAGGTGATTTGACGTGAATTTTCCAACTTTTTATGGTATCAAGTTGGAAAAAACCTCATAATTTTATTTCTGAGCTTCAGATTGACTTCAAATTTTTCATGTTTGATAAAAAGCTCCTGGTTAATGAATCCTGAAAGTTTCAAGTCGATTTGATACCCTGAAGTATTTTTCAGGATTTTTCAAAGATGGTTTGACGTGAACTTTTCAACTTTTTCTCGTATTAAAATAGAAAAAACCTCATAATTTTATTACTGAGCTGCAAATTGACTTCGAATTTGCCTTGTTTGATGAAAACATCCTAATAAATAAATCCTGAAAGTCTGAAATCGATCTGATACTCCCAAGTATTTTTCTGGATTTTTCAAAGGTGATTTGACGTGAATTTTCCAACTTTTTCTGGTATTAAGTTGGAAAAAACCTTGTAATTTTATTTCTGAGCTTCAGATTGACTTCAAATTTTTCATGTTTGATAAAAAGCTTCTGGTTAATGAATCCTGAAAGTTTCAAGTCAATTTGATACGCTGAAGTATTTTTCAGGATTTTTCAAAGGTGATTTGACGTGAATTTTCCAACTTTTTCTGGTATCAAGTTGGAAAAAACCTCATAATTTTATTTCTGAGCTTCAGATTGACTTCAAATTTTTCATGTTTGATAAAAAGCTCCTGGTTAATGAATCCTGAAAGTTTCAAGTCGATTTGATACCCTGAAGTATTTTTCAGGATTTTTCAAAGATGGTTTGACGTGAACTTTTCAACTTTTTCTCGTATTAAAATAGAAAAAACCTCATAATTTTATTACTGAGCTGCAAATTGACTTCGAATTTACCTTGTTTGATGAAAACATCCTAATAAATAAATCCTGAAAGTCTGAAATCGATCTGATACTCCCAAGTATTTTTCGGGATTTTTCAAAGGTGATTTGACGTGAATTTTCCAACTTTTTCTGGTATCAAGTTGGAAAAAACCTCATAATTTTATTTCTGAGCTTCAGATTGACTTCAAATTTTTCATTTTTGATGATAGAAAGCTTCTGGTTAATGAATCCTGAAAGTTTCAAGTCGATTTGATACCCTGAAGTATTTTTCAGGATTTTTCAAAAATGATTTGACATGAACTTTACAACTTTTTCTGGTATTAAATTGGAAAAAACCTCTCTGAGGTGCAAATTGACTTCAAAATTTGCCTTGTTTGATGAAAACATCTTAATCAATAAATCCTGAAAGTCTGAAATCGATCTGATACTCCCAAGTATTTTTCGGGATTTTTCAAATGTGATTTGACGTGAATTTTCCAACTTTTTCTGGTATCAAGGTGGAAAAAACCTCATAATTTTATTTCTGAGCTTCAGATTGACTTCAAATTTTTCATGTTTGATAGAAAGCTTCTGGTTAATGAATCCTGAAAGTTTCAAGTCGATATGATACAGTGAAGTATTTTTCAGGATTTTACAAAATGATTTGACATGAACTTTACAACTTTTTCTGGTATTAAGTTGGAAAAAACCTCTCTGAGGTGCAAATTGACTTCAAATTTGCCTTGTTTGATGAAAACATCCTAATAAATAAATCCTGAAAGTCTGAAATCGATCTGATACTCCCAAGTATTTTTCGGGATTTTTCAAAGGTGATTTGACGTGAATTTTCCAACTTTTTATGGTATCAAGTTGGAAAAAACCTCATAATTTTATTTCTGAGCTTCAGATTGACTTCAAATTTTTCATGTTTGATAGAAAGCTTCTGGTTAATGAATCCTGAAAGTTTCAAGTCGATATGATACACTGAAGTATTTTTCAGGATTTTACAAAAATGATTTGACATGAACTTTACAAACTTTTTCTGGTATTAAGTTGGAAAAAACCTCTCTGAGGTGCAAAATTGACTTCAAATTTGCCTTGTTTGATGAAAACATCCTAATAAATAAATCCTGAAAGTCTGAAATCGATCTGATACTCCCAAGTATTTTTCGGGATTTTTCAAAGGTGATTTGACGTGAATTTTCCAACTTTTTCTGGTATCAAGGTGGAAAAAAACCTCATAATTTTATTTCTGAGCTTCAGATTGACTTCAAATTTTTTCATGTTTGATAAAAAGCTCCTGGTTAATGAATCCTGAAAGTTTCAAGTCGATTTGATACCCTGAAGTATTTTTCAGGATTTTTCAAAGATGGTTTGACGTGAACTTTTCAACTTTTTCTCGTATTAAAATAGAAAAAACCTCATAATTTTATCACTGAGCTGCAAATTGACTTCAAATTTGCCTTGTTTGATGAAAACATCCTAATTAATAAATCCTGAAAGTCTGAAATCGATCTGATACTCCCAAGTATTTTTCGGGATTTTTCAAAGGTGATTTGACGTGAATTTTCCAACTTTTTCTGGTATTAAGTTGGAAAAAACCTTTAATTTTATTTCTGAGCTTCAGATTGACTTCAAATTTTTCATGTTTGATAAAAAGCTTCTGGTTAATGAATCCTGAAAGTTTCAAGTCAATTTGATACGCTGAAGTATTTTTCAGGATTTTATAAAGGTGATTTGACGTGAATTTTCCAACTTTTTATGGTATCAAGTTGGAAAAAACCTCATAATTTTATTTCTGAGCTTCAGATTGACTTCAAATTTTTCATGTTTGATAAAAAGCTCCTGGTTAATGAATCCTGAAAGTTTCAAGTCGATTTGATACCCTGAAGTATTTTTCAGGATTTTTCAAAGATGGTTTGACGTGAACTTTTCAACTTTTTCTCGTATTAAAATAGAAAAAACCTCATAATTTTATTACTGAGCTGCAAATTGACTTCGAATTTGCCTTGTTTGATGAAAACATCCTAATAAATAAATCCTGAAAGTCTGAAATCGATCTGATACTCCCAAGTATTTTTCTGGATTTTTCAAAGGTGATTTGACGTGAATAATTTTCCAACTTTTTCTGGTATTAAGTTGGAAAAAACCTTGTAATGTTATTTCTGAGCTTCAGATTGACTTCAAATTTTTCATGTTTGATAAAAAGCTTCTGGTTAATGAATCCTGAAAGTTTCAAGTCAATTTGATACGCTGAAGTATTTTTCAGGATTTTTCAAAGGTGATTTGACGTGAATTTTCCAACTTTTTATGGTATCAAGTTGGAAAAAACCTCATAATTTTATTTCTGAGCTTCAGATTGACTTCAAATTTTTCATGTTTGATAGAAAGCTTCTGGTTAATGAATCCTGAAAGTTTCAAGTCGATATGATACACTGAAGTATTTTTCAGGATTTTTCAAAAATGATTTGACATGAACTTTACAACTTTTTCTGGTATTAATTTGGAAAAAACCTCTCTGAGGTGCAAATTGACTTTAAATTTGCCTTGTTTGATGAAAACATCCTAATAAATAAATCCTGAAAGTCTGAAATCGATCTGATACTCCCAAGTATTTTTCGGGATTTTTCAAAGGTGATTTGACGTGAATTTTCCAACTTTTTCTGGTATTAAGTTGGAAAAAACCTTGTAATTTTATTTATGAGCTTCAGATTGACTTCAAATTTTTCATGTTTGATAAAAAGCTTCTGGTTAATGAATCCTGAAAGTTTCAAGTCAATTTGATACGCTGAAGTATTTTTCAGGATTTTTCAAAGGTGATTTGACGTGAATTTTCCAACTTTTTCTGGTATCAAGTTGGAAAAAACCTCATAATTTTATTTCTGAGCTTCAGATTGACTTCAAATTTCTCATGTTTGATAAAAAGCTTCTGGTTAATGAATCCTGAAAGTTTCAAGTCGATTTGATACGCTGAAGTATTTTTCATGATTTTTCAAAAATGATTTGACGTGAACTTTCCAACTTTTTCTGATATGAAGTTGGAAAAAACCTCATAATTTTATTTCTGAGCTTTAGATTGACTTCAAATTTTCCTTATATGATAAAAAGCTCCTGGTTAATGAATCCTGAAAGTTTCAAGTCGATTTGATACCCTGAAGTATTTTTCAGGATTTTTCAAAGATGATTTGACGTGAACTTTTCAACTTTTTCTCGTATTAAAATAGAAAAAACCTCATACTTTTATTACTGAGCTGCAAATTGACTTCGAATTTGCCTTGTTTGATGAAAACGTCCTAATAAATAAATCCTGAAAGTCTGAAATCGATCTGATACTCCCAAGTATTTTTCGGGATTTTTCAATGGTGATTTGACGTGAATTTTCCAACTTTTTCTGGTATTAAGTTGGAAAAAACATTGTAATGTTATTTCTGAGCTTCAGATTGACTTCAAATTTTTCATGTTTGATAAAAAGCTTCTGGTTAATGAATCCTGAAAGTTTCAAGTCAATTTGATACTCCGAAGTATTTTTCAGGATTTTTCAAAGGTGATTTGTCGTGAATTTTCCAACTTTTTCTGGTATTAAGTTGGAAAAAACCTCATAATTTTATCTCTGCGAGCTGCAAATTGACTTCAAATTTGCCTTGTTTGATGAAAACATCTTAATTAATAAATCCTGAAAGTCTGAAATCGATCTGATACTCCCAAGTATTTTTCAGGATTTTTCAAAGATGATTTGACGTGAACTTTCCAACTTCTTGTGGTATTAAGTTGGAAAAAACCTCATAATTTTATTTCTGAGCAACAAATTGACTTCAAATTTGCCTTGTTTGATGAAAACATCTTAATTAATAAATCCTGAAAGTCTGAAATCGATCTGATACTCCCAAGTATTTTTCAGGATTTTTCAAAGATGATTTGACGTGAACTTTCCAACTTCTTGTGGTATTAAGTTGGAAAAAACCTCATAATTTTATTTCTGAGCAACAAATTGACTTCAAATTTGCCTTGTTTGATGAAAACATCTTAATTAATAAATCCTGAAAGTCTGAAATCGATCTGATACTCCCAAGTATTTTTCGGGATTTTTCAAAGGTGATTTGACGTGAATTTTCCAACTTTTTCTGGTATCAAGTTGGAAAAAACCACATAATTTTATTTCTGAGCTTCAGATTGACTTCAAATTTTCCATATTTGATAAAAAGCTTCTGGGTAATGAATTCTGAAAGTTTCAAGTCGATTTGATACGCTGAAATATTTTTTAGGATTTTTCAAAGATGATTTGACGTGAATTTCCCCACTTTTTCTGGTATCAAGTTGAGAAAAACCTGATAATTTTATTTCTGAGCTTCAAATTGACTTCAAATTTGCCTTCTTTGTTGAAAACATCCTAATTAATAAATCCTGAAAGTTTGAAATCGATCTGAGACTCCGAAGTATTTTTCAGGATTTTTTAAATGTGATTCAATGTAAATTTTCCAACTTTTTCTGGTATTAAGTTGGAAAAAAACCTCATAATTTTATTTCTGAGCTTCAGATTGACTTCAAATTTTCCATGTTTAATAAAAAGCTTCTGGTAAATGAATCCTGAAAGTTTCAAGTTGATTTGATACCCTGAAGTATTTTTCAGGATTCTTCAAAGATGATTTGACGTGAACTTTCCAATTTTTTCTGGTATTAAGTTGGAAGAAACCTCATAATTTTATTTCTGAGCTGCAAATTGACTTCAAACTTGCCTTGTTTGATGAAAACATCCTAATTAATAAATCATGAAAGTCTGAAATCGATCTGATACTCCGAAGTATTTTTCAGGATTTTTCGAAGATGATTTAACGTGCATTTTCCAATTTTTTCTGGTATTAAGTTGGAAAAAACCTCATAATGTTATTTCTGAGCTGCAAATTGACTTCAAATTTGACTTGTTTGATGAAAAAGCTCCCAGTTAATGAATCCTGAAAGTTTCAGATCGATCTGATACTCGAAGTATTTTGCAGGATTTTTCAAAGGTGCTTTAACTAACGACAGATTCTCAAAGAATGACAACCAATTCAACAGACATATTGTGGTTAATCCAACATTTTGAGTTTCTTCTCTCCTTCTGATCTCTTCATTTTGGCACTCAGATCGTGATCTTTTCCGTTGAGCGTTTATCAGTCCTAGTAAACTGAGATTATTGGATTTGGTAACTTTTTTGAAATAATGAATTCATAGAGCTGCTGAAGTGTGTAAAAGTTTAAAATTCGAATTCTTATCGCAACTTTTCAGATTTCCCAAAAATTGGAATTGAAAGTTTAGCTATAGGTACAGTTTCTCAAAAGTGAACTAAATAGATAGAGAGGTAGGTATATCAGAATTAATGGACATCATCAATCAATACGAATTGTATCTTGTAACCATTCAGATATTTATTTATTATCAGAAACAAAATTACAGCATATTAATAATTGGTTTTATTGTTGTTTGTTGCAGCAAAAATTATATGATTGTTATGTTAAGAATAATTAGTAAGGCCGGTGGAGAACAATGCAGCAATGGCATAGTTTCTTATAACAATAGAAGCAAAAATAGTAAAAAAGAATATAAGGTAAGTGTGCCGCCTTATCTATGTTACTTTAATGTACTGTAAGAAATAGAATTTTGCTTCTTTAATTTTCAGTAATTAATGAAAACCATAAGATTTTGGCAGATAGATTCTTGATTGATAAGCAACAATGTTTTCTACTTACTAAGCATTGTTAATTATTTTACCATAATTTTAATTAGAAACAAAAAATGGCACACACGCGACCTCACATTATTATTTATATTTACAACAAACATCATATTGCCTAATTAAAGACAATATCTTATTCAAAGAAAACATTTGTTGGGAAAAACGTTCCTGACCTGTTTCATGTTCAAGTTGTTGGAAACATCAAGATTAATATTAATTGCGTATTAGTTTTATATTGTAAAATTTATCAATAGATTTGTAATAAATATATCCTCTTGATTGCGTATAGCAAATTCAATTCGTATCTATATAAAAAAAAATGCAAGTACTTACTGCTATAAAGTAGTACTGAAAAGTGAAAGAGCCCCGCGACTAGTAATTTTAAAGGTGGCCCAATTTCGATATTGGACATGATTAATTATGTTTTTTTATTATGTTATACGTTTTACTTGATGAATTCCATTTAATTCCTTTGAACAAAAACTATACTGAAATTTTAAAACAATTTACACGCTTATAAGATATTAATTTATGCAGACAAAAAAACATAAAATTTCAGATGCTTTTTATATTATTATTTGTTACCTAATTATATTTTATTGAATAACTTTTCTCTAAAAGTCGATAAATTTGCGTGCCAGCAATTAGTTTCCAGTAATAAATTATTAAAAATTCAATTATAATAGTTGAAAACTTTTTACACAGTCAAACACAATGTTTGAACCAGTTACATTAAGTTGCAACATTAATTGCCTAAAAATCATAATTAAACTAAACAACGTTTTTGGTCTAGTACCACATTACAACTTCAATAAAGGCAGTATCAAAAAATCCTACTCCTTCTTATGGGTTTTAATACATTTAGCGACCATTTTGTATTACATCTACGATTGTATTTCTTTGTCAATTGATCCTAATATAAAAGGCACTACTGTAACTGAAGTACCATTAAGGTAATACCATACTTTAAAATTAAATATCTAAATAAAGTCTTTTTAGGATTATAAACATTTTAGGCTTTAGTTTTTTACCAGCAATGTCGATTTTCAAGACATTTTCCTTGGACTCACAAATATGGAAGCAATACTTCAACAACACCCTAGACCTGGAAAAATATTTCAAAAACAAATTGCCAAACGACAAACATCATTCAATGGTTGCAAAGTTTTATTCAACCTTACTCCTAACACATTTAATAATAATTATGATTATTTTATTTACGGTGTGGCATAAAAACCCTTTTGATACAGCCTTTTTAGCTGTCATCTACATTTGGGAAACTTACAATTTGGTTATTTTTAATTTGTTTATCAATGCTATGGCCATGTTTTTGCTTGTCAGCTACAAAAACTTAAATGAACTATTGATGGTTGATAGTTCAGAGCAAATTTTGATAGAAATTGGAAGGGTTTTTGGACATTTGCACCAAACAAACGAATTATTTAATTTGGTTTTTGGTCAGCAACTGTTGCTTGTTACCGTTTACGTTGTTTTGGATATTTTGGATTTGCTCAACATGTGGATGCTGTATTTTCTGATCGACGGCCACGATCAGCTTCCTTTGTATATTTACGAGGAGTTTGGATATTTTTTGTTGCTTTGGGTAAAAATATGAATTATGATAAGTTTCCTTGTAGGTTGAAACCTTCTTTTATAGATGTCTTACTCTTGTATTGTCTTCTCCTGTGACCTGACGAAAAAAGAAGCTAAATATTTCACCCAAAACTGTCACAAAATCCACTTGAACCAGCCGACAAACCGCAAATTAGTCGATTTGGCTCGTACCTCCGAAATCCTGGGCCCAGTTTTCACTTGTTCCGATTACGTACCGGTCGACAGGCAAATATTTTCTAGCATAGCCAACGTTGTTTTGGCGTACCTAATTGTTATTATTAATTTTAATAATAGCAAAGCCTAAAAGTCGAAATAAATTGGGTATAATTAAGTAGAGCACGCAATTATATTAATAATGGAAATTGATGGTGTGACGGATATATTGTAACTTTATGTAATAATAAAAATACGTTCACCAAATATTTCTTTAGATATTAATTCAAATTCCTCCAGAGGTAATTTGATTTTTTTTTAAATGATCTATAGGAAATATTCCTTTCGATAATTGAAGAATCCAATTACTGCTCAAAAAAGTTTAAGCTTTGGAGGCCATTCATTAGATCATTAAGGAAATATTCCGTCATCGTAATCCTAATTCAGAAAAATCTAGTCATTGGAAACTGTAGTTGAAGCAAGTAAAAACTAGAAAGATTCTTCTACAACTCGTTTATTTGAAGATTTTATTCGGAGTCCAAATTTTACCATTCCAAGATTTGTTGTTATTGAACTAAAATGTTTTGGAAATGTAGTTGTAGTCCTGCAAGTTTTGTCTCATTTGGAATTATAGTTCCAGAGATTAGGACCTTATTTACAACATTTGTCAAGGAAAGCTAGAATTCTACTTATAAAACCTATGAAAAATCATGCGTCGAAGATATTTAACTACAATTTTCTAGAAGTGTAGTTGGAGTGAAGGACTACAAATCCTGCAAGTTTTATTTCATTTGGAATTATAGTTCTAGAAATAGGACCCCATTTACACCATTTGTCAAGGAAAACTAGAGTTCTAAGTTGAACTTCTAAAACCTATGAAAAATCATGTGTCAAAGATATTAAACTAGAATTTTCTGGAAATGTAGTTGAAATAAAGGTCTAAAATCCTGCAAGTTTTGTCTCATTTGGAATCAAATTTCCAGAGATATGACCTTATTTCCAACATTTGTAAAAGAAGAGTAGACTTCCAAGTTGAGCTTCTAAAAACTATGAAAAATCATGTGTCGAATATTGAACTTTAATTTTTTGGAAATGTAGGTAATTGAAATAAGGGACTACAAATTCTGTGAGTTTTATCTCATTTGGAGTTAAATTTTCAAAGATACGACCTTATTTTCAACATTTGTAAGAGAAGTGGACACTTCCAAATTGAGCTTCTAAAAACTATGACAAATCATGTGTCAAAGATATTGTAACTACAATTTTCTGGAAATGTAGGTGTAGTATAGGACTACAAATTCTACGAATTTTGTCTCATTTGGAGTTAAAATTCCAGAGATACAACCTCATTTTCAACATTTGTAAAGAAAGGGGACATTTCCAGGTCGAGCTTCTAAAAATTATGAAAAATCATGTGTCGAAGATTTTGAACTACAATTTACTGGAAATGTAGTTGTAGTAAAGGACTACAAAAACTGTGAATTTTGTCTCATTTGGAATTAAATTTCCAACGATCCGACCTTATTTACAACATTTGTGAAGGAAAACGAGACTTTTAAGTTGAGCTTCTAAAAACTATGGAAAACCATGCATCAAAGACTTTGAACCACAATTTTCTTAAAATGTGGCTGATATAAAGGACTACAAATCCTGCAAATTTTGTCTCATTTGCAATTATAGTTCCAGAGATACGACTTCACTTTCAACATTTGTAAAGAAAGTAGAAACTTCTAAGTTGAGCTTTTAGAAACTTTTAAAAATTATGTGTCAGAGATATTGAACTGCAATTTTCTGAAAATGTAGTTGTAGTAAAGGACTACAAATCCTGAGAATGTTGTCCGATTTGAAATTATAGTTCCAGAATACAACCTTATTTTCAACATTTGTAATTTAAGAGGGGACTTCTAAGTTGAGCATCTGAACACTATGAAAAATCATGAGTCAGAGATATTGAACTTCAATTTTCTGGAAATGTAATTGAAATAAGAAACTACAAATTCTGCGAGTTTTGTCCCATTTGTAGTAAAATTTCCAGAGATACGATCTTACTTTTAACATTTGTAAAAGAAGTGAACACTTCCAAGTTGAGCTTCTAAAAACTATGAAAAATTATGTGTCGAAGATATTGAACTACAATTTTCTAGAAATATAGTTGTAGTCAAGGACTACAAATCCTGCGAATTTTGTCTCATTTGGAATTAAATTTCCAGCGATACGACCTAATTTACAACATTTGTGAAGGAAAACGAGACTTTCAAGTTGAGCTTCTAAGAACTATAAAAAATCACGTGTCCAAGATATTGAACTACAATTTTCTAGAAATGTAGTTATAGTATAGGACTACAAATTCTGCAAAGTTTTGTTTTATTTGGAATTAAAACTCCAGAGATACGACCTTATTTTCAACATTTATGAAAGGAGACGAGATTTCCAAGTTGAGCTTCTAAAAACTATGAAAAACCATGCATCAAAGATTTTGAACAACAATTTTTTGAAAATGTAGCTGACATTAAGGACTACAAATCCTGCAAATTTTGTCTCATTTGCAATTATAGTCCCAGAGATACGACTTCACTTTCAACGTTTGTAAAGAAAGTAGAAACTTCTAAGTTCAGCTTTTAGAAACTTTTAAAAATCATGTGTCAGAGATATTGAACTGCAATTTTCTGAAAATGTAGTTGTAGTAAAGGACTACAAATCCTGAGAATGTTGTCCGATTTGAAATTATAGTTCCAGAATACAACCCTATTTTCAACATTTGTAATTTAAGAGGGGACTTCTTAGTTGAGCATCTGAACACTATGAAAAATCATGAGTCAGAGATATTGAACTTCAATTTTCTGGAAATGTAACTGAAATAAGGGACTACAAATTCTGCCAATTTTGTCTCATTTGTAGTTAAATTTCTAGAAATACGACCTTATTTCCAAGATTTGTAAGAGAAGTGGACACTTCCAAGTTGAGCTTCTAAAAACTATGAAAAATCATGTGTCGAGGATATTGAACTACAGTTTTCTGGAAATGTAGTTGTAGTAAAGGACTACAAATCCTGCGACATTTGTCTCATTTGGAATTAAATTTCCAGCGATACGACATAATTTACAACATTTGTAAAGGAAAACGAGACTTTCAAGTTGAGCTTCTAAGAACTATAAAAAATTACGTGTCCAAGATATTGAACTACAATTTTCTAGAAATGTAGTTATAGTATAGGACTACAAATTCTGCAAAGTTTTGTTTTATTTGGAATTAAAACTCCAGAGATACGACCTTATTTTCAACATTTGTGAAAGGAGACGAGATTTTCAAGTTGAGCTTCTAAAAACTATGAAAAACCATGCATCAAAGATTTTGAACAACAATTTTCTGAAAATGTAGCTGACATTAAGGACTACAAATCCTGCAAATTTTGTCTCATTTGCAATTATAGTCCCAGAGATACGACTTCACTTTCAACGTTTGTAAAGAAAGTAGAAACTTCTAAGTTCAGCTTTTAGAAACTTATAAAAATCATGTGTCAGAGATATTGAACTACAATTTTCTAGAAATGTAGTTATAGTATAGGACTACAAATTCTGCAAAGTTTTGTTTTATTTGGAATTAAAACTCCAGAGATACGACCTTATTTTCAACATTTATGAAAGGAGACGAGATTTTCAAGTTGAGCTCCTAAAAACTATGAAAAACCATGCATCAAAGATTTTGAACAACAATTTTCTGAAAATGTAGCTGACATTAAGGACTACAAATTCTGCGAATTTTGTCTCATTTGTAGTTAAATTTCTGGAGATACGACCTTATTTTCAATATTTGTAAGAGAAGTCGACACTTCCAAGTTGAGCTTCTAAAAACTATGAAAAATCATGTGTCGAAGATATGGAACTACAGTTTTCTGGAAATGTAGTTGTAGTGAAGGACTACAAATCCTGCGAATTTTGTCTCATTTGGACAAGCTCCGACAGGCACGATATATTTCCGGCATAGATCTTAAACAGAGTTACTGGTAGGTACCGTTGGCCGAACAGAGCAAACCGATAACTGCATTTACAGTGCCTGATCTAGGGCTGTTCCAATTTCGAGCTATGCCATTTGGCCTTGATTTTGCACCAGCAACTTTTCAACGTTCGATGGATAACATCATAGGGCCGGAGCTGAATTCGTATTGTAGTGCTTCGCTTATCTAGATGATATGTTGCAAATGTTGTTTCGTTTAGAATTCAATTTCCAAAGATACCTATGATTTTATTTTCAATATTATTCAAAGTCCCAACTTTATCACTTCAGGCACTAAATAATTCATGACTTGTTCCTCTGAAAAATGCTTCAAATGCAGAAACAAGAAATCCAGATTCAAATGAAGAATTTGAAGATTGTTCTCTACATAATCAAGAATTCGACATTTTGGGCAATGATTCGAGTGATATTTTAACAATAGTTGATTAACCTAATATGAATATATCCAATTTGATTATTCCAGAGACTTTTTCAGATCTGAAACTAAATTTTGATCAGTCTAGAATTCAATTAAAAATCGAATAGGTGTCAACGACTCTAAGAATCGAACACGGGCGACCCTGAAACGCCTGAAACATTCTTTCTGTGCAAAGGCTACAATCTAAAATGCTATTGCGAAATTTCCCATATGCCTTCGGACCCGTGTATAGGTCGATTTTATTGATTTCATTATTGTAAAATCCTTTTTGGTTGTTTTCCCATGGATGCCAATCGTCAGGTTTTTTTTTTTTTAATTATGGGCCTTTCTTTGTATTGCTCAATGCTTAATCAACCGATAATTTTAAATAATGATGATTGCTATCGGCTTTTTACTATTGATACGTATCTTTGTACGTTTGTATAATTATTAATCAATGATTGTCGAGAATTTTAGTATATCTAGATTTGATCTTTGTGTGCTATATTGCACGCTTTCATTCAATAACTGTCAGCAAAATTTTTACTATATTTATTAGTTCTTCGATTATTTTGTCTCTCTGTATAAATTTAACCGTAATAATAATATAACCAATCGAGTTCCTTTTCCCTTTCATAATGACCCGGCCAAATGAACCGTATCTGATCTGGGTAAGACAAAATGCATACCTATTTTTGCTCCAACGGTTTTGTAATGTAATACATTTTCAATGTGGTTGAATATTTTACAATAGAACCATCAACAAATAATCATTTTGCAGAATACAATAATAATATCCGTTGAAGTGTAAATTATTCTTCAAAAAAAAAAAAAACAAACTAGAGCACCAATTTGATAGATGAATAATAATTTTGAAATGTTTTGCAATAATCTAACATTAATTTTGTGTAAATGTTTTTGGAACAACCTGACAAGCAAATATTAATAATTGGAAATCTTTATATGTACTTAGAATGGTTTACGAACAATGTGCAATAATTTTCAATTCAAAAGGCTAGGAGAGTAAAACAAGAAAAAATCGGAGATAAATAACAAGATAACATGAATAGTGAAGCACCCTATAAATTCCCTTGGAAGTTTTAAGAATTTGCTCAACAAAGAACCAAAAAAAAATATTATCAATAGCCACCAAACCCAAAAATAATATTAATTTAAATTACATAAGCAAATATGGACGATAATTAGTTTGAATTACTATTTTCAGGCCAAGTAGCACACACTAATACAGGGTGGTCCAAGAACAACAAGAAACATTTCAAAAATTAGAAAACTTGCCAATCAATGAAAGTAATTTTCCGCAATAATCGATTTAATGCAGCGCCCGAGTACCAATGGTGGGTACCATCGGTGGCTCGTTGACCCTTGGCTACCTCGACGGTACCTTGTTGCCAAATACTATCGTTTGTTTGTATATAAGCGAAACTCTCTGCGGTACCTCTACCTTTGATTGTTTTTTGTATTTCTGTAGTTGATTTATTGACTCAAACTACAAATTTATTGAGCTTATCAAACAAAATCGTAGTTGGCAACGTCGTCAACCACAGCTGATAGCAGCGGTACTATACCAGAAGGCACCTGCTACTACAAGTGAAAGTACTACTGGCACACTATTCAGGATGGTACTAGCTATATTGGTATCAAACAAAAAATGCATTTTAATAATACCACATTTGTATAGGCAATCAAAAACTCTAGCAAAAAAAAAAATGGCCATTGAAAGACTTTACTTAAATCTTGAAAAAAAATAATGGTACTAATACCTTTGATTGAAAAGTACTCCGGTTCTGTACCCGCCAAATGCTGCCGACCAAAACGTCTGGTCGCCGCGGTACCATGGCGGGAACCATTTAGTACCACATTAACGCTCATTCAGATCGGAATACGAAGAACCATATAACTGACAGCAGGTGTATATTATAGTACCGTAGTACACAGTCATTCGTGTTTTATTGATAATAATTGTGAAGAATGTAACATTTTTCTGTCTAAAATATATTATATAGACGAGTAAATTATGAGGTACCATTGGATAGTGCCTTTGGTGGTACTCGCGAGTGTCGCGGTCGATGCGAGCGGAGTGTCGTCGCGCTTGCCTCGTACGAGTGCCGCTCAGCTCGCTGCGAGCGCGAGTGCTCAGAATAAGACCGTGCAACAGTTGAGGAGTACTGCGCCAGTCGGTACTAATAATCGGAGCGCTGGAAGAGGCAAGAACAGGTGAGAATTGAACTAGAATTTTCTAGAAATGTATAGTTGTTTTGAAGTAGGTACTACAAATCTTGCAAATTTTGTAAAATTTGGAATTGAATTTCCAGAGATACGACGTTTATTTTCAAAATTCCTTCTAGACTTCTAGATGAACTTCTAAAAATTATGTAGATATCCAAAATATTGAATTATATTTTTCTGGAAATGTAGTCAGATTAAAGAACTACAAATCCTGCAAGTTTTGTCGCATTTGGAATCATAGTTCCACAGGTACGACTTTATTTTCAACATTTGTTAAGAAAAACGAGATTTATAAGTTAATTTAATTTCCAAAAACTATGAAAAATCATGTGCCAAAGTTATTGAACTGCAATTTTCTGGAAATGTAGTTGAAGTAAAGGACTACAAATCCTGGAAGTTTTGTCTCGTTTGAAATTATGGTTCCAGAGATATGACCTTATTTTCGAAATTTGTGAATGAAGAGGAGACTTCCAAGTTCAGCTTCTATAAACTATGAAAAATCATGTGTCAAAGATATTGAACTACAATTTTCTGGAAATGTAGTTGTAGTAATGGACTACAAATTCTGCCAGTTTTGTCTCATTTGGAATTATAGTTACAGAGATATGGCTTTATTTTCGAGATTTGGAAGTTATAAAAGTTTAACTTTCAAAAACTGTGACAAATCATATGTCAAAGATATCGAACTACAATTTTATGGAAATTTAGTTGAAATGAAGGACTACAAATCCTGCTAATTTTGTATCATTTGGTTTTATAATAGTTCCAGAGATACGACCTTATTTTCAACATTTGTAAAGAAAAACGAGAATTATAAGTTTAACTTCTAAAAACTATGAAAAATCTTGTGTCAATGATATTGAAATACAATTTTCTGGAAATGTAGTTGGAATAAAAGGACTACAAATCCTGCTAGTTTTGTCTCATTTGGTTTTATAGTTCTAGAGATACGGCTTTATTTTCAACATTTGTAAAGAAAAACAAGATTTATACTTTAATTTAATTTCCAAAAACTATGAAAAATCGTGTGACAAAGATATTGAACTACAAATCCTGCAAATTTTGTCTCATTTGCAATTATAGTTCCAGAGATACGGCTTCATTTTCAACATTTGTGAAGAAAAACGACATTTATAAGTTTAACTTCTAGAAACAATATAAAATCATGTATCCAAGATATTCAATTACAATTTTCTGGAAATGTAGTGGGGATAGAGGACTACAAATCCTCTAAGTTTTGTATCATTTGCAATTATGGTTCCAGAGATACTGCTTTATTTTCAACATTTGTGAAGGAAAACGAGATTTAAATTTAATTTAATTTCCAAAAACTATGAAAAATCGTGTGACAAAGATATTGAACTACAATTCTCTTAAAATGTAGCTGGAATAAAGGACTACAAATCCTGCAAGTTTTGTTTTATTTGGAATTATATTCCCAGAGATGAGACCTTATTTTCAACATTTGTCAAGAAAGAAGAAACTTCTAAATTGAGCTTCTAAAAACTATAAAAAATCATATGTTAAAGATATCCAACTACAATTTTCCGGAAATGAGGTTGGAATAAAGGACTACAAATCCTGCAAGTTTTGTCTTATTACAATTAAACTTCCAGAGATACGGCTTCATTTTCAACAGTTATAAAGAAAAACGAGATTTATTATTTTAATTCCTAAAAGCTGTGAAAAATCATGTGTCAAAGATATTGAACTACAATTTTCTGGAAATGTAGTTGTAGTAAGGGACTACAAATCCTGCAAATTTTATCTCATTTTGAAGTTAGAGAAACGGAGATTTTAAAATGTTTAACTAAATCATATATTTCCAAAGATAATGAGGACAAATCTTACATTGATTTGGTACAGTCCAAAATGTACGAAAACAAATTACAAAAACCTAAAACGGATCTTTCTCTTTCCTGATTAGAACGAATCGCAAATCACGACTAAAACCGAAAATATCCAAAAAGTATAAAACATACGGCACGATTCTAGAATAGCAAAAAGACGACATAAAATAAATACAAGGCTGAGTACATAATTGGTTCCAGAAGAATGAACGCGACATTAAAATAAAACAGCCTGAGAAATCTAATAAATTTATTAAAATCCACATCATATACCTAAATAATATTATTATTTAAAGAAAATTACAAGTTAATCGTCCGTTATTACTAACAATTTTGGCCTTTTAAGTTACAACCAAAACAATAATGCCTTGCGTAAATTTAAATGTTTTTGAAAAATCGTTATTATTATTAATCCTTTCACTTTTAACGTGTCGACGACTCGACATATTTGAAAAAATCAACCATACTTTTATTATTTTGTAAATTATTTCTTTTGGCCTTCAGATGCAACTTTTGATGTGCACTTCACTTACTTAATCCGATAAAATCACAACAATTCGATTTTTCGTTGAGATAAAAATCCACCTGCAGCGGGCGACCTCAAAGATTGCGAGGCCGTTTTTTTTGTGGTTTGGTTTTGATAAAAGTACCCATGTTGCCCATGGCAATGGCCCAGAAATGTTAATAAAAAAAAAAAAAAATTAAAAATGGTACCGAATTTGAATTTTTATATTGCTCAGTGTATAATATAGCCTTGGCAAGATATCCGTATGAAGTACCACGCCCATATCAATGTTAACTTGTTATTGTTTACAAGTTAACAGTTACTTTCATAGATTCTGTTACATATAGGATTTATGTCTTCCTCATAAGCTAATTATAGGAATCTCAAATAATAATAAAAATAATGACACGAAACTTACAATAAACATAGAAAAAAATATAAAACAATTAAATACACAAGTAAAAAACCCTTATAAAAATTATTACATAAATTTTAACCGGAAACAAATTAAATATTCATAAATTCTATATGTACGTATTATAGAAAAAATACTCAGTATATTGCAAAACACAAACGGATATTTATTTTTACTTTCCTCCGCGCATATTAATTATTTAATAACCGAAAATTATTGTTTGAGGTCTTCGATTATTTATTTTATTCCGTGCTTTACTGGGTTTTAAAAAAATAGTGAAAGTTTTTTTGTTGTGCTTTTTACTAGGGTGTGATGTTGGACACAAATAATAATTTATTTTATATTTTTTTTGCACGATTCAAGAAGCTTTACCCCACTGTAATTGAGTTATTGCAGCCCTATGCAGTCCTAGAGTGAAAGTAATCTCTCAGTATGCTTAATATCGGCTAATACAACCAATTTCAGTGTACTTATTGAAACTTTTCTTCATGTATATGACTTTTTCAAGAGTTTACATTCCATATTTTTCAAGGTATGCTTTCCTTTATGAAATTGCAGAGGATCGAACATAAACACAATCTCAGTTAACGCAACGTAACTCAATTAACATTTCAAAAGTTTCGAATTTTTGACTTCACCAATCGAAAGAAGAGGTTGAAATTAGTAGAAAAGCATTTTCGGAATTTTCCTTTTTGGGTTTTAAAGCCTTGTTAAAAAATAAAAACGATTTTTGCAATTTTTGGGCCCAAAAAAATTTCAATAATCTGACATTCTTTCACAAAATTGTTGATTACTCGGTTATTATTGTAACAAATATAATGTAAAATTATATATTCTGAATCAGAAAGAAATTATCTTCAAGATAAAATAAGATTCAATTCTATATCTTAAATACTTGTGAAGATATTGAGGCTCAAAGTTGAAACTTTATTTCAAATTTTGCAAAAGCTTTCAGGCGGATTATCTGGAAAACGAAGCCCTTGGGCTCGGAGTCTAAAATAACCTTTTTTGTAGCCCTTATTAAGAACTACAATTGGGCAAAAAATTCATGCCAATAACTTCACTGGTTTCCAAAATATGGCCTTTTGCAATATTTGGAAATCAAATTTCCATGCATACCCCTTTGTAAAGTTCGAATTTTTGAATTTCCAGTTTTTTGAATTTTTGACTTCACCAATCGAAAGAAGAGGTTAAAATTAGTAGAAAAGCATTTTCAGAACTTTCCTTTTTGGGTTTTGCCTTGTTAGAAAATAAAAACGATTTTTGCAATTTTTGGGCTCAAAAAATTTCAATAATCTGACATTCTTTCACAAAATTGCTGATTACTCGGTTATTATTGTAACAAATATAATGTAAAATTATATATTCTGAATCAGAAAGAAATTATCTTCAAGATGAAATAAGATTCAATTCTATATCTTAAATACTTGTGAAGATATTGAGGCTCAAAGTTGAAACTTTATTTCAAATTTTGCAAAAGCTTTCAGGCGGATTATCTGGAAAACGAAGCCCTTGGGCTAGGAGTCTTAAATAACCTTTTCTGTAGCCCTTATTAAGAGCTACAATTGGGCCAAATATTCATGCCAATAGCTTCACTGGTTTCCAAAATATGGCTCTTTGAAATATTTGGAAATCAAATTTCCATGCATACCCCTTTGGAAAAGTTCGAATTTTTAAATTTTCATTTTTTCGAATTTTTGACTTCACCAATCGAAAGAAGAGATTAAAATTAGTAGAAAAGCTTTTTCGGAACTTTCCTTTTTGGGTTTTAAAGTCTTGTCAAAAAATAAAAACGATTTTTGCAATTTTTGGGCTCAAAAAATTTCAATAATCTGACATTCTTTCACAAACTTGCTGATTACTCGGTTATTATTGTAACAAATATAATGTAAAATTATATATTCTGAATCAAAATTAAATTATCTTCAAGATAAAATAAGATTCAATTCTATATCTTAAATACTTGTGTAGATATTGAGGCTCAAAGTTGAAACTTTATCTCAAATTTTGCAAAAGCTTTCAGGCGGATTATCTGGAAAACGAAGCTCTTGGGCTCGGAGTCTTAAATAACCTTTTCTGTAGCCCTTATTAAGAACTACAATTGGGCAAAAAATTCATGCCAATAACTTCACTGGTTTCCAAAATATGGCCTTTTGCAATATTTGGAAATCAAATTTCCATGCATACACCCCTTTGTAAAGTTCGAATTTTTAAATTT